ATAATGGATTAGCATCAACAACAAAAAAACCAAACTTCCTTGAAGTCATCTTAGAGCAACCTAGCCAGGCAACACTTGGTGGGTGAAGACGAAGACCTCAGAGGGAAAATGCCCCGTGAGCCTTGTGTTCGCAGCTGCCTGTTCATTTCAGAGCATTTGTAAATTCCTGCCATGAGATATACACCAGACGGACAGCAGCAGCCTAGAGCCTGGAGCAGTATCACTGGCTAAGGGTAGAGTTTAAATAATTTTTAAAAAGAGGTCAAGGCAACTAGAACGTGAGGGTAAGGTCCCAGAGATAAGGAGCTGTGTAACAGTGAACACATAAACGTAATCTCACAGAAGCATGGGTTCACTTCTAGGCAGTCCCTTTCTTCTTCAAGTTCTGGCTGACTTGAACACCAATATTTTCATTTGAGATATTTGCCAAATATTAAGCTGTGTATACATGGATGAGAAGCTGAGAAAACAAGCTGAAAGAAACTGTTTAGAATCTTAATAGCAAATCAGAACTTTTGGCAGTCTCACAATGCTGGGGAGTGAAAAATTGGAGTTCAGAGCCCATCAAGGAAGAGGGTCTCTGGTAAGCATCCTAGACTTTCAGCTGAAACCTCCAAGGCAGTAACCATAGGAGAAAGAAATAGATGCACTCTAATGAATCCTGAAGTCCAATGTCAACTGCAACAACAAGAACAAGAATTGTTTGTATTTTATCTGACTTCCAGTCTAAAGGAGGTAACAATATCTAGAACTGTTTTATTAAATAATGTCTAAAACTTAATAAACAAAAAGTTATTAGACATTCTAGGAAATAAATGTAGAAAAAAAACAAGGGAATAAAAAGATAATGGAAATAGACTCATAGATGATCCAGACATGGTCTTTGAATACAGCCTTACATAAAAAGGGTAATAAACCACAAGCTGAACCTGTTCCAAGGTTGTGAAGTTAGTTTAACATTTGAAAATCATTAAATGTGGTAGCCAAATTAACACCTTAAAGAAAAAAAAAATCACACAATCATCCCAAATCAAAGGATTCTGGGAAAAAATAGGTAAAATTCCAGACGATTCCTAATAAAGAAAAAGCCTTAGTAAACTAAGGATAGAGGAGAATTTCCTAAAAGAGAATCTACAGGAACATTTACAACAACCATCATCCTTAATACTGAATTAGTAAATCTTCCCCCTGAGATTAAAAATCTCACTGGAATTTCTGAGATTAGACGTCTGATTGAAAGCTGAATTAAATTCAACATTGTACTGGACCTCTTAGCTAGCACAATAAAGAAGAAAAACACAAACAAAAAATATAGAATTAGAAAAGAAAAAATGAACCTGATACTTATAGATGGTATGATTATACTCAGAAATACACAGAAAAATATAGAATATACAGAAAAAAATATTAGAATCAACATGCACATTTTCAAGGCTGCTAGATGCAAGATCAAAATACAAAAATAACTTCTCAATTGCCCTCCCTTTCCTCCCTCCACTTCCATATCCTGGTAGTTTCCACCTTTTATTTTCATATCCTTTTTATTCCCCTGGAACCCATGTGAGCAAAAAAACATGTAACATTTGTCTTTGTGAGATTGACTTATTTCACTTAACCAATGATCTCCAGTTTAATCCATTCTCCTAAAAACAACATAATTTCATGATGGCTGAATAATACTCCATTGTGTATGTAGCCACATTTTCTTTATTTATCCCTTGGTGGGCACCTCGCTGATTTCATAACTTGGCTGTTGTGAACAGTGCTGTGATAAACATGGGTGTGCAGGTATCTATATTGTATGAGGAATGACTCTTTTGGGTGCACCCAGGAGTGGTATAGCTGGATCATCTGGTAGTTCTACTTTTGTGTGTGTGTGTGGTACTGGGCTTGAACTCAGTGCTTCATGATTGCAAGGCAGGTGCACTACCAATTGAGTCGCACCTCCAGCCCTTTTTGGTCTGGTTATTTTTTGAGGAAGCACCATACTGATTTCCATAGTGCCGGGCCTGAATTCTAATAGACACATTTCCACTTCTAATACAACAGGCAGAGCATCCCTGGGATGTCATCAACCCCATCCCCCCAAGTGGGGGTATGGGGACATGGCTTACCTCTTCCTGGTACCTTTCCTGGGGACAGTCCCCACATCATTGGGGGACTTTTAGAAAGCATAGCAAACAATAGTTTAGGCATCGCTTGTGCCATACTTCCTTCTCTCAAAGATGACATGCCTGCCTTGTCTATCTGATGGATCATATAAAATCCAAGAGAGAATGTAGATTAAGGCCTTTTCAAACTGTTAATTCTATATAAGTATACATTTTTACCAATATCATGAAGACATAATGACCTATAATACTAAACACTGAACCAAACTCAAAATATAAACATCAAACAAAAACATGGAAAGAAATTTTAAATGAAATAAAATGCAAAGGGTGTCCAGTGTTACTTGAACTTAGTGTCAACAGTTGAGTTGATATCACAACAAACAATGGGATATGGATCTTTCCATTGCTTAGATTCAATCCCAGCACTTATTCTTAAGCTTTGAGGAAAGTGACAATGTTGCTCTAATTTTACTCAAAACCCCATCTATTCAAATAGCCACTAAAAAAAATAACTTACCTGGTCCAACTATTTTCTTTTTAATCAAACAAACATGTTTGTGCAGAGAGCACAGCAAAGGCCTATCTTCCAAGAATCCTCGCTGACCACCTCTAGGTCAGGTTTTCTGACTGCCTTTTAGATCAGAAAACCCAACACAACATTTGCCTAGCATGCCTGAGGCCCTAGACTCAATCCTCAGCTCTGCAAAATAAAATAAAAAGGAAGAAAAAAAGCAAAACATAAAAACTTGAAACTACCCTGGTCCTTTATCAAGGAGGCAAAATATTTTGTAACACAAACATTTGCTAAATTAAGTGAATCCACCAAATGCTACAAATTTCACTTAAACACAGATTAGACAAATAAGTTTCTTTACAAGCCTAGAAAAGGGTTTTCCACCAAGACACCCCAAGATGGTACAGATGGAGAGATCAAACCCTCCCCCTGAAGAAGCCCTGCAGCTAAGTTTGGAGGCCTCTGGAAGAATGCTAGGAAGCAGCAGGAGGCCTGGGCTCCTGGCCCACAGATAAGAAAACCTTGCCCTAGCCAACTGCAACCCTTAAAAAGCATGAAATTTTCCCAATTCCCCAGTATTTTCCCTCTCCTCTGCACAAAAATTAAACAAATCCAGTTGCCAAATGCTCCCATCCTAGAAGGCAAAGAGCAGCCCTCTGCTTTGACACAGAGCTTTCCAAGGTTGGGACCATTCGGGATTTTGTTTTCCAAACTCACTGCTGGCCTCAAAAAAGTATGTCACCATCATCTTGAGCACAAGGCAGCTGTTCTTTTTTGGCTAGAGTTCAGTATAAACCTCACAAAGGTCCTGTTAGCTTTCTTTTTAAAAAAATAATTTTGAAAAATCCCATAATCACTAAGCTTCCAGCTTAGTGTTTTTACTATAATGCTTTTCCCACAGGAGAGGGAAAACCACATGTTCCAAGCAAACCTCTGAGCCAAAGCAGTGCCCGTGGGTTATTCCCACCAGAAAACAATACTGGAAAAAACTGAGAAGTCAATGGGTAACGCAGTGCCCAAGAATCACTGAAGACCAATTCACTCCAAAGCATCAAAAGACAATGATTTGCTTTCTACTGCACAGTCAAAATCAGACATCAGAAAACCTCCCTCTCATTCTGGAATTTTGGTCTTATAAGGACACCACAATGGCTCTATTTTACTATTACTTAACTGTCCTGGGTAAGTATTCACCTACAACCCTCAGTGTGTAAGTTCAATACCATGGCATGTCCTCAATACCTGCCTTTCCATCTTCCTTCTTGTATTCCTCCCACAACAGACTTGAAGGTACAGAAGGGCCAGGCACTAGTGGTGCTTTTAAGATTGAAATAAACCTTTCATGGCCCAAGTGATCTCTTCCTTGTGATCTCAACGTGCGTATTTGTGACAAACCCGCAACAGTCAATAGACTTCCAAGATGAAAATCAAGAATATAGACTTGGTTTATAAAACCAAATGTTCCCAATCCCTTTTGAGCCTGTGATGTGGGTTTCCCTGTTCCCCCTCTCCCATATATTCTCTTCCTTCATTTTTATCTTTTTATCTACCATATAATTGTCAGGCTGTCATTATTAATAGCTTAATTTCCACCTTGTGTATACTATAAACTACAGAGCCATGCTAATCTATACACCGTGGGTCTGTTCTCAGTGAACTGCTAAACTGACCCCTACTTACTAAGCAAAATTCAAAGTCACTGGCTTCTTTTCTGTGTACTACAGATTTGAACTAAGGACTGTCACACTTCATCCTTCTATCCTCCCATCCCCCAACAACTGCTCCACGGGAGTTTTTCATTATAGCTAGGCAGTCCCATGAACATACTTCATAGAAGCTTTTCTGTAAAATGGTCTGAATTTATTTTGGAAAACAAGAAAGATGTAAGCATATGGAAGAAAAAAAAATCTACCATTCCATTGTATCCTAATGGAAAAAAAAATCTGTTGCACACTCTTACTCGAAGATAAACATGTGCGTGTATATTAGGTGCACAATACATAGCCTCACAGTTACTGGAATTAGCATCACTTTAAAAGATTAATATAATTTTAATGTGTGTGTTAATTTTAGGCAGCCTCATACATCATTCAAAGTGGGGACCAAACAATATTGGGAAACATTTTATTCCCAATAAATCATACAGTTGTCTGATCACAAGGGTGCTTAGTAAACACTACTCATTGGCTTGTTGTTTACAAAAAGACAGCAAAATATCTAAACTCTACCCTTCAGAACAACGTCCTCTTTACGTTCATGACTGCCCCTGAACTCCAAAATGCCTGCCACAGACACAGTTGGGGTCATGTAATGTCAGAGGGTAAGAAATGGGAGCCAGCCCCACCTTTTGGGCTTCCTTTGAGCCTTCATACCTGTGCTGATGCTCCTGTAAGACTTGATAAATGCTGATAAGAAAAGTTTGGTTTTTAAAACTCCCCACAACACAGTCCTTGTAGATGCGGAATTCTGCAGCCGTCACCGCCTCACCCTCAGGAATCTGGGATAGGTTGAACTTGAACTCTTTGTGGTGTCGCTGGCGAGGAGAGAACTCCTTGTCGTACTCCACTATAGGATTAAACAAGAGAGAGTGACAACTATTGTTACTTGACTAAGTGTCACATGTTCACCTCATGAACGTTCCCCCACCTTACTTCACAAGTGGATTAGCAGTTACCAGTGGTGGATTCCAGTGACCAGGGGGTGGAGAAAACAATGTTGGCTAAGCTTTCAGGGTTGCTGAGGTCAAAATCCTTTGCATCACTTAAGGATGACACAAAATTCTTAGGCTGTATTCAGTTTGGATACTTGATTGAACTAATTTGCGTGAGATCAAATTAGTTAGGCTCTTGGCCTGAGGTTTCTCATCAGCAAAAATGAGAACACGACTTTGTGGGGAAAGGTGTGAGAATGAAGTAACGATGTAGGTGCCGGTGCCCATCTTGGCCCTTCCCAGCCCCCTTTCCTCCCACTGATTTTCCCTCCTCAGTTTTGTTCATGTGTCACCATCCATAACCATGACATGGAGTGGGGCTGGGGGATGGACAGCGCCTTTTTCCAGGGGTCTGTGAATTTTGCTTGTTGTCCAGTGGACATTTTTACTGAGGGGTTTAGGGTAAAGGTTCACAGAAAACGGTGCCCTGTCCTCCCCCTATTGGTGGGAGCAAAGGGCTGAATGACTAAGGGGAGGCACCACCTACACTGGAAGCTGCTGGAGTGCCATTTAATCTGCCAGGACACCCCAGGCAGGAAAAGGAGGATGTATGAGGAAATTACCAATGGTGTCCCTTACTGTTTTCTAATGGTTTACATTGAAAAACAAGTCAGGAAAAGGATGGAATCTAAAAGGTTTTCCTTTGAAAAAACACATGAAATCAACCTAGTTTTCCATCTGTAGATGAATGGATAAAGAAAATGTGATTTAAGTGCACAATAGCATACTATTCAGCCTTTAAAAAAGAAGGAAATACTGCCGCCTATGACAATGTGGGCAAACCTGGAGTAGGTTATGCTAAGTGAAATAAGCTAGGCACAGCAAGACAAACGCCACATGGAATCACTCACATGTGGAATCTAGGAAGTTGAATTAGAAGCACAGAGTAGGATGGTGGTTGCCCGGCGTTAACAGATCGGGTGGGAGGGGATTTGGGAGAAGTTAGTAAAAGCATAAAGGCTCAGTTTTGCCTGACAAATTTTATATACCTAGTGTAAAGCAAGGTGACTAATAATATCTTATACTTGAAATTTGCTGCAAGTATGTCTTAAATATTCTCACCACAAAAATACAACAAAAAGTCGTAAATTCATTAGATTGATAGTGGTAACCACTTCACAATGGGTCTGTAGACTGAAACATGTACACTTCTGATATACATAATTTTTATTTGTCAATTATACCTCAATAAAGGTAGGGAAAATTATTTTTAATAAAACTTTTGTTTTCCTAAGACAAAATAAGGAAAACTACAATTACTGTTTCAGAGTCAGCTTTCAAATGTTTATACAAAGTCCTGTGTGAGAGAAATGGTTTCAACCCCAGAGGCTTACCTCACAATAGCTATAAAAGAAAAAAGGAGGCTCTGCTTCCTCCAAAAACCTTTGACTCTGTTTCCCAGCTAGGCAACACATCTTCCCCGCTGTTCCTGTTCCGTTTTTTCTTAATGGAAACCCAACAAAACCTCATGAGCAAATAAGTCCTTTACGGCCCAGTTTTCCTAGGGCTTATAGGTAAAAACAAAAAAGTTATTTGCCACTTCCTCCCACATGTATTGTTTTCTATAACTATCAGAGAAAAGTGTTAGTGATCTAGCAACTTTAAGAAAACAAAAAACCTAGTAACTCTCTAGAAGAAACAAAGTTCCAAAAGCATTCATAGAAACTAAGGAAAGTTAAGTCATTTATGGGTACAATGTTTCCAACAAAGAATTTCCAAAATCGCCACGCAATTGTTAAACAAATCATTCAGATTTGAACTTTTTTTTTTTTCTTTTTCCATCCTTTGGGAGTTCAAGAAAGAAAAACCTTGGTTCTGTAAGAGCTTGAATGTGAGTAAAAAAGGTCCAATCAGAAAGCAAATCACAGTTCAGTCCCAATAAGACAGTAGGTTTACTAATTACTGGCCAGGCATGAAAAGCAGTATTGTTGAGGAGTTCACCCAAGGACGCCCACACGGGACAGTGGATCACTTTTCCCTAAAACTGATCCGCCTTCTAAGTTTGATACCTTATTGTTTTTGGTGAAAAATGAATCAAATCTGATTTCCCAAAAAAGACTTTCTAAAAAAAAATAGTTACAAGGCTTTTCTGTAAAGACTTTAGAGAGCTTAATTTTAATATAACTAAATGAAATATACTTCTAAGCTCCACTAGAGAGCATGTGTAAGAATTCTCAAAGTTTTCTTTCAATCATTCTTACTACAGACAATGTGAAGTAAGATATATGACAATAACTAAGATATTTCAATTATAGAGAGTAGAGAAAGGGACCAAGATTTCAGTGACAGAGAAATGTAGATTGACTTTGTTGAAGAGCAACAACCCCAATGAAACAACACTCTCAGCTGACTCTGTAACCTGCTTTGACCAATGGAATGGTAGAGCTGATGGACTTCCTAAGCTAGGTGGTGACACTTCTACGGGCAAAGACAGCTGCCATTGTAAGAAATCTGACTACCCAGATACTTCCATGTTGTGAGGAAGCCCAAACTACAGAAGTTCATGGATAAGTAAGATAGAAGAGGAGGGGGAAAAAAGGGAGAGGAAAAGAAGGAGGGAAGAAGGGAGGGAGTGAGAGGGAGGGAGGAAGAATGAACCATCCAGCCAGTCCCCAACCACTTCGGTTGGTAAGATGTCATCCTGGACGTCTTGTCCATTGAGCGTTGGATGACTCCAGCACTAGCCACCATCCAGCTACATGAAAGATGAACGAGAACCAGCTTGCTGAACCCGACTAGGACTGACAGGACTGAGAGAAGATGTATTGTGATTTTCAGTTGTTATGCCTGGGGGGATTTGTTTTACAGTAATAGATAACTAACACAAGAAGAGAGGAGAGGATAAGAGAGATTAAGAGCAGGAGAAGAGAGAAGGGAAATCTGACCATGCTAGGAGGGGAGAGATTGCATGTCATTCTTAAGAATAATGATTGTCCAATGGTGAGAGGCAATGTTTATAACTAAGGAAGAATCCTGATCCCGTGATTCCCAGAACTCTGGTGGAGATGCCAGGGGGGTCATAAGTTCAAGAATAGCTGAGCTACATAGCAAGACCCTGTCAAGAGAAAAATAGAAAAAAAAAAAAAAAAGGATTCTGGCAGATGCTCACAGACAGGTATACAGAGATAAAGATCCTAAAAATGAGAAAAACAGAAGCACAATCCAAAGCATTCATGCTATTAACAATGTGAATTAGAACCCCTTGCTTTTTAGGGGCATTCCCATTTCTTCTCTACTAAGACAACATTGTTTTAAAACACTCTGAATGTATTTTCTTTTATCCTTTTTTAGGGAGATTCATGGTCTCTGTAGCCCCATGAGTTTCTACACCCTTTGCCCAGTCCTTACCTTACAGTCTTCTGAGCCTCTAAGGAGGCTTATTCTTATCTCCAACTGTGTCACACTCACTCTCCCCAGGATACCTCGGCCACCGTCACTTTTGTTTGCTTGGAGCTCATTTTTCTCTCTACTCTTTTGCCTACAATTGGATTTGCACAGTACTTTTGCTAATACTACATAGGGATACAAGAAATAAACCCAAGTTTGTTACTGCCTCCAGGTACACTTAAAGACAGCTGGGTAGAGTATCAATGTTCCCAAGAAACTTAACCAAACTGTATGATTCTGGACTCCTCAAATGCGAGACAGTTCAATACATGAGAAGGGAACGAAGAGGACTGGATTTTAAATTCAGTGTCTATTTTGTATCACCTAGCATGTGATTTATCAATGGCAGTGCCACCAGTAAGTATATAAGTAAGTAGCAGCTAAGAGTGTTGATGAAGTGCCAAAGTGCCACTCTGGTTTGGGATCCTGGCTCCACTCTTTCTTAGGTGATGCTCGGCAATATATTAAAGTTTCAGTATCTGTTAGATGAGAACAGCGTTTTTGAAGATGAAGTCAGACAACCTATACAAAATAGCCAGTGGCAATGCAAGTGAAGTGCTCAGTAAATGTTAGTTGTAATAATGCTTGGCCTGCTTTTCCAGACTCTAATTCCTCTCAGCTTACAATGTGCCTTTGCTGAGTCATTCAAATGTACTCATTTGTCCACAGATAAGGCCAATTAACACTTCCTCTAAATTAGCTTTTAATTTGCAAATAATGCATTCTGCCAAAAGGGCAGTCAGTGAAATTTCCAATCATCCTTGGCACTCAGCTTATGAATACAGTGCTGTATTCTTGGAGGCATTCTTAGATATTTTTTACCCCAAGGACCATATAAAACACTTTTAATGGTAATGACCTTTTACGAGGTCACCTACTTTTTGCTGTTTGCAGTTTGTAAGGGTAATAAAAACAAAGCAACAAACTGCCTTCTTTTAACTATGATTCCCCCACTACTACTTCATAGAAATAAGGATATTTTAATATAGGTATTTTCTGAAAAGTATCCAAGTCTAAATTATTTCAAATAAAATTGTCTAGAAAAAAATAAAGACATCACCTATTTTGACTGCAAATAGAAAGGAGACAAGAAAAAAAAAAGCAATACAGGTGAAAGAAAAGAACAGAAAAATCTGTTTAGGACATTTACTTTTATGAGCAACCACATACATTACTTCCTCACTAGCTGGACTTACTTTCTGGGTAATTCAGTCTACATTAGCTAAGGTGATTATGGAACTTGCCAGTAAATTCTGCATTTGCCAAAGGCATCATGTTTCCACTGATATTTAAACACAAAACATGAAACTCAAAATGGCACAAGTTTATTTAATTTCAGGTAATAAGGACAGTCTCCAGTAATCTTCCAAGGGTGGTAACAATGGCAGCCTTTTGACTTTTATATTGTACAAGCATAAAACTTTGAGTGGTGTGAACTCCCTAACACTCTTTTTGACCTCAATGAGGT